TGCCTTGAGATGACATGTGTTGTGAATTTGGCGCTATATAAATAAACCGAATTGAATTGAATTACTAATTGGTTTTGTAAGCAGGCATTTCCTGTCTTTCAGAAAAATTGTGTTATTGGGGGAAGGTTTACGTTTTTGTCTTTATTGGTGTAACTTGTATATATATTTTTGGTTCTCATTACTCTGTTTTTCTTTGAGGTTGCCTGGTCAGGTGTTGCCATGGAAGCACGCCCATGAGCAGTGCTGACAAGGACCTGTGTATCCAATCAGCCTCATAAGGGAAATCCATACTGACTGAGAAGGAGGGGAGATGTTTTGGGTTTTGTTAGGACTTGAAGTATTGTTTAGCTTCAATCTGTTTAAGTTAATTGTAAAGGTGTGTTATTTATTTATTGTTTTTCCTCTAGAGGTTTAATTTAGTTCACTTCTTCCCAAACAGAAAATGTAAATGTTAAATTGTTTAAATGTGGGAGTGTTTTCTTCTCTGTTTTTTTTTTCTGCTGTGATTGAAGAGAGTGGAATCCTTGCCTCTCTGTTTTGAAATGTAAGAAGTCCTTTGTTGCATATATATATATATATATATATATATATATATATATATATATATATATATATATATATATATATATATATATAAAGAAAAACAGAGCTCTACGATCCAGTCTGATGGGGTTTTTTTTCTCTTTTGGTGTGTTTTCTGGGCCTCATTGGCCATCTTAAGTCCACAAGGTTTCTGCATCTGTAGTGCAAACCTTACAAATTGATTTGTTTTAAGTAAATTATTTATTTTGTCTCACAGAAACCTGGCTCTGGCAAGAGGATTATGCTAGCATACATTAGTCAGCTAGTTGTTATTTGAATTTTTTCTTTCTCAAATATACTCATTGATTGTGAAGAAGAAGCAATGATCTTTCAGTCTCATTTATTGATAAGTTCCAGGCCAATTCAAAAGCTTTAATTCCTTTGAATAATTAACTTCAACTTTCCCATATATAAATTGTAAAGTGCTGAAAACCAGGCATGTTTGTTATTTTATATCATTCAGCCTTTACTGTCAGTGTTTATACCGGTACTCAAACTTCCCTGATTTAATGTTAA